TTTCAGAAGTACGCGTGGGACTTATATTATCGTTTGGAAGAGCTTTCTTGCCAATTTCCAAATGGCTTGTCATTCAATAATAGCCTTGGTGCAGGGCATACAGATTTGGCAAGTACGATTTTGACAATTCGTGGTAAAGAATCATATCTACAAGTAGGTGGTGCAGTGGCGTATCATAAAACCTTGGGCATACAAATCAGCCATGTACCGATCATTGTTCACCTCACGATATCATTTTTTTTTACATCCGAGCAGTTGTACCCGTTTTATTCTTCCTTTTTGTTTTCTTTGCGCTCTTGTGCGTTTGTGATTGCCTGTTTGCGTGCATTTTCCTGTTCTTCATCTGTGCTAAAGCCATACTCATCGTCACTGCGCACATCCTTAGACACAGGCTCCGTGATCATGCTCATGGCCATCTTGGCGATGATACTGAACCAGAACACGTGCAAGGCTAGCAGAATACACAGCAACACGCTGAAAGTCACGTGCGAGACAACTACATGTCCCTTGGTGACGTAATCATATAAAGATTCCTCATAGAAAATGATCTCAACGGGTTTCTCGATGACGCTCTTGATCACAATCGGGAACAAGACAAGACGAGTGAAGAAGAAGGAGATTGCAAACACGGTGAACCCGTGGTTGGCAATCTCCTGATACCCAGCATAGTTGAATGTCTTGGCAATCTCAAGAAACACATCGGCCGCATCGTGGATGACCATTACCAGCGTTCCGACTTTCCACAAGTTTGTGTACCTATGAGTGTAGATAGAAATGAGCATACCAAGTAAGTCTACGTCCAGAAATCACAACTAACGTCATCACCAATATCCGATTTCTCAATGACTGTAGACCCTAGCAATCAATCGAGCCTATACCATGATATCTTACGCAACCGTCATCTAAAAATAGAAATTATTTAAACACAGCGGTGATCGAACAGGAAGATCACAAGTAAAAATAGAAGAAGGGCCGAGCTAAAAACGGATACATACTTGCAACTAGGCATACATACAGGGCCATGTACATGAAACCATATGCATGTGTATAAATGAGTTATGTCCATTTCGAGACGGTAAACAGTATTGAACTCGCCAACTTGTGACAATTTTTGAAATACTTGCGCCTGATTTCCAGTATGCACACCAACTCGTCAATGCACTTACAAACCTACGGTCATTACAATAGACATTTTCAACATAGACTGTTGATACACAGATTTACATGTGCGGGGAACCAAAAAAATACCCGAAGTCACCATACCATGAAAAGGCAATCAGCAAGACCGTCGCAATGTGATGGATAACCAGTTCCACAAAGTCCTTGCGCCTGTTATCTACAGGCAGTGTGACCAGACAGGCAGTGTAGTAAGCCAGCTGTATGATGTAGTAGTTGGTGATGTGGCCATCGATGGGATGCATAGGGAGGTTATGGTAGGCCTGGTGCAGATCCCACGCCCACGGGCGGTTGTAGAGCACAATTACACCGTATAGGAAAACCGAAGAATAGTACAAGACCTGTTGATAGCAAATGAAGATATAACTGATCATATCATCAAACGTGCGAGTACGGTTGCTTGTCGTACACTAAAAACATGATGAAAACTAGAACCGGCACGCGGTGAGTATTAAGGTATTCAATGAACTGAGTTCAGACTGCTAAGTATTGCAGTGATCGTTCGTCATATAAAACGGACCGTTGTGTATTGGGTGCTCAATATTATAATTATATCAAACCATGAGCGAGACTCCATAGAAAATGCCAGAACGAATTGCAATGAGAAAAATCTGCAAAAATCTATAAAGAGAAAAAACAAACATGCACATAAACACATGAGCAAGTCTCCGAAGTCCCTAGCAATACCTTGAAAAGACACTCGCTAAATTTCTTAGTGGGCGTTGCAATGAGCGAGTTTTTTTTCCTCCTGAGCCATCTCTGGATTTCTCTTTCGTTCATTCCGGTGCGTTTGACGAGTTCTTTCACGTACTTTGGGCTGGCGTGTCCGTTGACCTTAGCGTATGCCTCCTCAAGGGTGGGATTTTTGGCATACTTTGTGTTTACTTGTCTGATTCCGAGCCTGCGTGCGAATACTGGCGTGAAAAGAAAGGTATCATGTTAGCAATGCAACACAGCCATAGATCGATTTGCGCGCGCACGAGGAGCGAGCATATATTTATCTTCCTAGTTTGGCAGTAATCCCTATGCATCAAACTTTTACGCATAAAGTACATGAAGTTCCATATTTGCAGCATAAATGGCTGAGCACCAAATGTTTCCATCGACGCACTAGAGAACAGCACATGAATTGTATAGTTAAGCAACACGCCAACAAAATTTACGTAAATACAAAACAATGTGAATGAAATAATATATCATAAATACAT